GCTCTCCGGGGCATTCAAGGTTCCTGTGTCAGTCACAGGGAACTTTAGTTGACACTGCTTTCCCTGCAGAGGGGAGACAATCGGCATCTGGTGTGATTAACACATGGAATTCACTGCCACAGGAGGTGGTGGCAGCTACAAGCATGGACGGCTTCAAGGGGGAGCTGGATAAACCCATGGACGAGAGGGCCATCAGTGGCTATTAGCCACAAGGCATAGACAGGGACTCTTGGCCTGGGGCAAGTGATGCTCTGTCTTCTTGGTGCTTGGGGGGGCAACAGTGGGAGGGCTCCTAGTGTTGTGGCCCCACTGGTGGACCTCCTGATGGCACCTGGTATTTTTGGCCACTGTGTGACAGAGTGTTGGACTGGATGGGCCATTGGCCTGATCCAGCATTGGCTTTTCTCATGTTCTTATCTCCTCCAGTCCCCACTTCTACATATCTTTAGAGGTACTAGAGGTTTGTCCCTGGGTCATCTGCTAAGGAGCCCCTCAAAGAAAGAACATGGTCCAGCAACCCGCCTCAGGCCAGGACTCCTGGGGAATCCCATCCTACTCGCAAAGGGGCTAACATCTTGATGAACAAGCAGGAGAGCAGACTTCGGGGTCTGCAGGAGAAGAAAAGGAGGCCTGGCAAAGGTTTGGGGCTACACAAGGGGTGCTAGGCTGAGACCGAGAGCCAATTCCTCTCAATCAGGGCGAGCCCTCTCATTAAACAGCAGCCTGCCTCGGGCAGCATGGGTGGGGATCGGGCACTCAAAGCAGCTTCTCACATGGCTGCAGCCTGCCTCGGGCAGCATGGGTGGGGAGGCCCCTGAAGGCTAGCAAGTTGTCAACTGTTCGTTTTCTTTCACGTCTGTCCCAGTTTTCTCCCTGATCCGGGCACTCAAAGCAGCTTCTCACACGGCTCCCCCCCCTCCTCCACTTAACCCTCACAACAACCTCGTAGGGTAAGTGAGGCCGAGAGATCGTGACAGGCCCAAGGTCACCCGGCAGGCTTCCATGGCGGAGTGAGGGATTCAAACCCAGTGGTCCCAGGTCCTGATCTGACATTCCAACCACGATACCACACCAGCCCTCAGCCGTTTATTATAATTATTTTTTAATCAATGGAGGGGCAAGGAGAAGATGTCGTTTTGATTTTCCGCCTCAGGCACCAAAACATCTTGGCCCTGTCTGTTTATAGCCTCTCAGAGGACGCGGTGCCCTTCAGACGGAAGATTCAACAACACACACCACTTGTCCCCGTGTGGAGATAAACAGCTGCCAGTGAAGATGGAGCGGCTGGGGAGGGGAACAGGGAATCTGATAGGGGCGCAGCTGTCTCTGCTGGGGGGGAAAAGTGTTACCCAATATGGACACAGAAACCTGCTCCTCAGAGTCACTGGCTCAGGAGAAGGAGGCCTTGCATGGGGGTGTGGGGAGAACAGACATCTTTCCTTTCTCGAGACCAAACATTAAAACGGCCTTCTCTGGAACACAAAAATCCCCAATTCAGTCTTCTGACTATTCCCTTTAATGGACGTAATCTGTTTTCTAGGCCACAGTGGCTTGAGAGAGATAAAGGTGGCAGAATTCAGAATAGTCAACAGGGATTTGGCTGGTCAGCTACAGCAATCAAGAACAGACCCCGGGAAAAGACACTTTACAGAGCTGGGCGGCTCCCCCCACTTGGGTTATTTTAACCAAACCGTAGCCCTGTTTGCATGTCGCAGGGAATGCATGCGCAAGTTGTGTACAGTGGACACTTGCTTTTTCTTTATACCTGTGTTGAGTATTTCTCATGTTTTGTTCAACACACGTACAGCTGAACACGTGACAGATCTCAGGCCCCAGATTTATCCAGGCACCCGTCCCCTGTTTCATTTGCAAAGTGGACGCGCATCAGCACTTTCTTACAAACAGGTACATGCAGGATGTGTGTGCGTTCACTGTAATTTGCGAACAGGGCTAACATAGAAGAAGAGATTGGATTTATACCCCGCTCTTCACTACCCAAAGGAGTCTCAGAGCGGCTTACAAACTCCCCTTCCCCTCCCCACAACAGACACCCTGTGAGGGAGGTGGGGCTGAGAGAGCTCAGAGCTCTGACAGAAAGTGCTCTTTTTCAAGAGCAGCTCTGACAGAACTACAGCTTGCCCAAGGTCATTCAGCCAGGTGCAAGTGGAGGAGTGGGGAATCAAACCCGGTTCTCCCAGATTAGAGTCCGTGCACTTAACCACTACACCAAACTGGCTATGTATAGGTGATTGTATTCCCAGATCTCAGAAGCCAGCCCCGAGACTCTAGTTTTGGGACTCATTCTCAGGGCCATCAGCTAAGCTCACGTGCTGGCTGGCTTCTTTGAAGACCTCTGCGCATTCCTGTTTGCGATTAGTAGTGCACAAGTAAATTGCAAGTGGGAGGCGACAGTCTGTCAATCTGCACATTCTCTGTTTAGCAGATAGGTTTTGATTCAACCGTTTTTTCTGCTGCTGAAAAAGGGAGGAGGGGGGTCCCCTGCAACCACCCAAAAAGGCTATGCTGGGACAGGCCCGTATCTACAGTGGGGCATCTCGGGGCTAGGCCCCCCGATTTACCGCCCAGGTCCCCCGACTTCCCATCCAGCTGGTTATTTTATTTTATTTTTTGTGCGCACCACGGCCACATTGCACCAAGCTGTCGCCCTGCCCTGCCCGCCAGTGCCCTTGCCTCTCACCTCTCTCTCTCGTCACTTTTTAAAAACTTTTCCTCTCTCATCACCCCGACATAGCCTGGGTTTGTGTGCGGGGGTGCCCTCCAACATTTAAATGCCCCCTGACGTCAAAAATCCTGGCTACGGCCCTGTGCTGGGACCAGCATGGACAAAAGCCATGTATGACGGGGGAAGAAGTAAGGTCAGGAATTGGGTGAGAGAGAGTGAAAAAGCTGGCTGGATCCAACCCACAATTTCCATGCTGTTACCGTTTCCAGTGTGGTAGATACCACAGCTTTCCCATGGCAGATTATTATGACTGCACACAACCCCACAGAACATGTGGTACAATTCCTAGTGACAGGCAGAAGTATACCTGCTATTTAATGCAACATCTCCAAGCCCCAACCCATAAATGTTGGAGTGCAAGCCATCCAAGGAATTTTTTTTAATTAAAAAAAAACATATTAAAAGAAACCCTGCAGAAATGTACGTTTTTGCTAATAATCTATTAGTTTCTCTTTTGTTTTCGCTACATTGCAAGACAGAGACCTCTTCACTGGGATGTGTGATCGGGCTATACAATATTTTTGTGTATCCCTGCAGCAGAAGGAATGGGTCTCCCAACTCACTGTGACCCCCAAAGAATCCAAGTCAGTGTCCAGAAGACCCACAGACTTGGCTTCCAGAGTTATCCAGGAGGGCGAGTGTGATGTAATAGTTAGAGTATTGGACTAGCATCTGGGAGATCCAGGTTTGAATCTCCCTCCGCCATGGAAGTTTGCTGGATGACCTTGGGCTAGGCACATACCTCAACCTGAACTATCCTCACAGGAGTGTTTTGAGGATAAAATGGGGGAGAGGAGAATAATATAAGCTGCTCCTGGTCCTCACTGGGGAGAAAGGCAGGGCATAAATGATGTAAATAGATAAACAGTTAACACGACCCTCTTTAGGAGACATTTTGCTGGGAGTTCCCTACAGTCCAAGTTTAGCACTTCCATGCTCAATGAAGTGTACAAGAATGGGCTTTGCTGCCCACAATAAGGTACAGTGCAATAGTACTCCGTGTCTGCAGTCACCATGTGGCTAGAGGAGTCCTGACGCTGGGAGTTGTAATAATAAAAATAATTATCGCATGGCATTGCGTGTAGAATAGCCAGGAAATCTTAAGATTGTCTGGCAGCCAGATGTTCTAGCTCTTTTTTTAAGCATTATGCACCACTAGGTGGCGAGCTAGACTTGTTTTCAAGGCAAGAGACGTTTCAGAGGTGGTTTGCCATTGCCTGCCTCTGCGTCACAACCCTGGCATTCCTTGGAGATCATCCTTCCAAATACTAGCCAAGGCCGACCCTGCTTAGCTTCCGAGATCTGACAGAATCGGGCTAGCCTGGGCCATCCAGGTCAGGGCGGAGTTGTAATATTTCTCGTAGACACCCACATGCACACTCATGGCTTATAGGCAATGGAATCCACTGAAGACTCCGGGGATCTTACGAGTGCCTCAAAGCACACACATCAAAGAGGAAGAGAACCACAGTCCTCCAAATGGTTTGCTAGCTGGGGAGGGGGGGGAAGGGGAGAAAAGAACGCATCGCTGTGTGCCATTTTTAAATCGACTGCCTCAGCAAAGCCCCTTTGCTCCTCCCCAGCCCACAGATAAAAAGGGAGAGGGGGAAAAATGTTGTGGGGGAAAGCATTCTAAACATGCTCAGAGACACTTCCGTTCATGTTTCAGATTCAGCTGTGTCCTGACAACAAATGGCAGGGTTCACTGCCCCGAGACCTAATACAAGTGAGAGGTTGGGCAAAGCACCATTTTCCCCGTGGTTTGGGATAAAGGGGAAGTAGATGGGGGTGGGGACCCAAGGAAGTGTAGACAGGCAGCTCCTTCGCTTCGTGAGAAGCAGAGACCTACGGGGGAAGCTGGCTTAAAGGAAAGAGGGACCGAGGCAGCTGATGGCCAGTTTAAGAGGGGCTGTAAAAGCAAACAGTCCAGTCGGTTTGTGACATGGAAAGCTTCGGTGGCTCTGGACTAAGGGCCTGAATTCTCAATAGTGATCGTGGTTAACCAGCCACACCACTCATTCAACCTTTGTAAAATGGTAGGAGGAGCAATTTCCTGTTCTCCCAAAATCCTTGTGCAATAGGAACCAGCGCTACCCAACACCTCTTCAGGATGCAAGGAAAAGGACGTGAACCTCAGTCACCTTTTCTCTTTTGGATGCTACTCAGGGGGTCCAGATCCTCAGCCTCTCCAGCACTAGGGCCCCCCCTCCCAGTGAGGCCCCGGATAATTGCCACGGCAAGTCGAGCCATCACTTACCGCAGGGGGTGGGGGCAACGGTTCCGGGGCAGCGGTTCCTTGTTCAGGGTAGAGACGCAGGCCATGATCCGGTGCGGTTGGAGATGGGTACTCTGAAGGGGCGCTGTGGAGGTGGTACTGTGGAGGCAGCCGAGCCTGGGGAGGGGGCGGAGGGTACTGGGCTGGGAACGTCTGTGTCATGGCATCAGCGGGCGGCACCGCGGCATCCGGGCTACCCTGCACAAATTGGGGGGGGGGGAGAGAACAGGAAGACAGTGAAACTGGGCCCTGCAACAAACGACCAAAAAGACGAAGAGCTCATTTTCAAACAGGTCAGATCGTCTTCTCCCTAGACACCGAGGACCTCTCCCAGAAACCCCTAGACTGTTTTCACTCTAATGCATTCTTTTCCAGAGTTGGCCGGGCAAGAAGAACCCCTTAACCCAAAGAGAACCACTGACAGTACTTTTGCAGCATTTCCCAAACATGTTTGCTTCACAGGCATTATTTCAGGGACCCTTACAACATCCCTACAAGGTAGGCCACTTATCATGACCACCATGTCACAGACCTGAGAGGAGGCAGCTCTTTTAGCGCACCCAATGAGAGCTCAACAGGACATTTCCTTACCTTAAGAGTCAGGACCAAGAGACTTAGCTCTCCCCCACCGACTTGCCCACAGAAAAAACCACCTGGGAGACTTTTGTCTCCCGTCTTTCCAAAGAGCAGACGTGGCTCTCCCCTCCTCCATTTTAATCCCCATAACAACCCTGTGAGATGACTGACCCAAGAACAAGCAGCCAGCTGAGGGGGAATATGACCCTCCCTCTCTCTCCCCAGCCTCACTTCAGTCCGCTGTATCCCGTTGGCTCCTAGACCCCAACATCCTGTAGGCAGAACTAACAGGTTGCCTTTTTACAAAGAAACAAAGCCAAGGCTTCCAATCCCGTCTTTAGGACTCCACCGGCGCTTCCTGTCGGGGGACCCAGAAATCCTGGCTTGCAGCCCCTAAAACCCAACCTCCCCTAACAGTCACCCACCTACACCAACGGGCCCCATCCCCCGGCACCTCGCAAGCCCTCCGCCAGGCTTGGGGGTCCTCAGACAAAAATGCACCCTTTCTCTTCCCGCAGACCCCGACTATAAAGGCATCCCTTGTGCTGCGCCTCCACCAATGGGGAGCCCCCGGAACAGACGCGGCCGCTCCGATTGGCTCCCGTCTCCTGGGCTCCCCCCCCCCCCCCCCCCTCCTTTTTCTCTTTGTAGCTTCTCGGCTCTCTCTTTTGTCTTTCAGCTGTTGGGGGCTTTGAAAGAGCCGGGGGGGGGGGCGTGTGAGACAAACAGCTGCAGCTTCTCCTGGAATTTGCAATTGCCCGAAAAGGCGCAGCTCGGCGGCCCACGCACCTGCCCCACCTGTCCCGAGGGCAGGGAGAGGGATTAAGGGGAGCCAAAGCGCCCTTCGGCTTAGAAGGAGCCGGATCCAGCAGCCCCAAGAATGCAATGGCAGGAAGATTGTACGTCCGGGGGGCGCTACGAAAGGCCAAGGCCTCCTGCAGGGTACTTTCCAGGATAGCTGCTTGCTAGATTGAAACTTGCTGGCGGCAGCCTTGCCTTCCTCCCAGGGTTGTTGTGATGACATGTACTTGTCTTGTATTTGTGTTTATACAGTGTTACCAGGTGACCTCTTTTCAGAGGACATGTCCTCATTTTTTGGTGTCCATCCTCTTTTGGGCCTTTTAAAAAACCTGCTGAAAATATCCTGTTTTGGGGTTAGGATGCTGAGCCTGGTTTGCCCCGTAGTTCCACAGTGGAGGCCAGCTTCAGCTTAAATAGTTCATGTTCGTTGCATCTATGACACTGTCAGCTTAAATGACACTGTCATCTTAAATAGTCAGGGTATTTAAAATGAGATTTGTCATAGCGATTGGTTGTTTGCAGTAGACAGTTGGGAAATAGGTTCTCTTTTTTGCTTTCCAAGATATGGTAACCCTAGTTTCTATATACCCTGCTTTTATTTATTTACATTGTTTATAATCCGCCTTTCTCACAGGAACCCCATGCGGATTGCGCATAGTGGATCACAACAATCAGCTAAATGGGGCATTCAATAACCAGTGCATTAGGATTGTAGAAGTCTGGAACCAGCCAGGAAGAACTGAAGTAAATATTTAAACCGTTTTGTACAATGCAGCTCTATTAGGTAAAGGTAAAGGTTCCCTTGCTCGAAAGCCAGTCGAATCCGACTCTAGGGTTGCGGTGCTCATCTCCGTTTCAAAGCCGAAGAGCCAGCGCTGTCTGAAGACATTTCCATGGTCATGTGGCCGGCATGACTAAATACCGAGGCGCACGGAACGCTGCTACCTTCCCACCGAAGTGGTACCTATTTATCTACTTGCAATTTCTTGCTTTCGAACTGCTAGGTTGGCAGGAGCTGGAACCAGAGACGGGAGCTCACTACGTCATGCGGCACACTCGGGTCTCGAACTGCTGAACTACCGACCTTCCGCAGCCTGCAGTTCAGCGTCTTAACCACCTGAGCCACCTATGCAGGAAAGCCCTCTTGAATAATTCTGGTTTGCATCGATTCAGGTGGGTATCTGAGGAAGTGTGCATGCACACAAAAGCTCATACATTGAATAAAACTGTTGGTCTTAAAGGTGCCACCGGACTCAGACTCTTGTTTGCTTCGTTTGCGGAAAGCCAGGAGAAGTGGGACCTTTCCTGACCTCCTCAGGCAGGCCATTCCATACAGTGGGGGCCACAGCGAGGAAGGCACGTGCACAAGCAGCGGTTGATTTAGCCCATTTGCAAGTTGGCACCTACAGAAGGCCCTGCTGACTGTTCGCTCGAATGGGAACCCAAAGTGGGTTACAAAACCATTCTCCTCTCTCTCTTTTCTTTCACTGCAACCACCTTCTGGGGTTCCTTAGGCTGAAAGAGAATGTGATTGGATCAAATGGTGGAGGGGGAATTTGAACCCGGGTCTCCCAGATCTGGATCCAATACTCTGTCCTAAGGATGCCAGCCTCCAGGTGGGACCTGGGGATTCCCTGGAACTACAGCTCATCTCCAGACTATAGGGATCAGTTCCCCTGAAGAAAATGGATGGTTTGGAGGGTGGACTCTGTGACATTGTACCCCACTGAGGTCTCTGTCCTCCCCAGGCTCCATCCCCAAATCTCCAGGAGTTTCCCAACCTGGATCTGACAGCCTTACCCCCCCCCCCATCCTCTGCTGGGGGCCTGGGGGGGGGGCCTGTCCCCTGTGCAAAACTGGAATTGGGAAAGAGAATCATGTGGGCTGCTATGAGCTCCTTGGAGGAAAGACAGAATAAAAATGTACTAGATATGTACTAGATTAATTGGGGGGGGGGTTTGAGAGTTCAAGGTGTCTTCATTCATTTTCTTAGGTGGTTTGAATTCTGGTTTTAACAAGGAAACAAGAACTAACGCAGCATTTATAGACATGTAAACATAGATGTTTTTGTCTTCACAAGAAACCTGCAAGCACAGAAGCCACCACAGATGCAACCAGGTGGGGCTGTGGTAGGGTTGCCTAGTCCAGACTGGGAAATTCCTGGATATTTGGGGTTGGACCCTGAGGAGGGACCTCACCAGGGTGTAAATACCATAGGGCCTACCCTCCATTTTCTCCAGGGCAACGGATCTGTCATCTGGAGATCAGTTCTGATTCCAGGAGACCCCCAGGCCCCACCTGGAGGCTGGCAACCTTAATTGTGGCTCCGTGGTAGCATATTTGCTTTGCACGTAAAAGATCTCAGATTCGAACTCTGGCATCTCCAGCCAGCAAAGACAATGCTGACCTTGATAGACCAATAATGGATAGTGGTGGCCTCATCTCATCTGTGGGGGCCTCTGTTTGCCCCGATTTAGAGTTCTACCACCTCCGTACACACACCCCATTAAACAGATTACAGACGATTGGCTCCACACATATTTCTACATTTAATAATGTTTGTGTAGATAAGATTGCCTAAAATATTTCGATTAAAATATAAAGCAAACCCAAATTTAATCTTTAACACTAATTCTATTGCTTTCTGTTAATCCAACAAAATTAAAAGGTTAATTGGCCCATCCTGAATTCCATTCCTGCCTGTTAATTGGGCCAGTATATACCTCCATATTGTTCATAGAGGAAGGCATTATGGATTCCTAAGGCCCCAGGGCAGTTTTGAACCAGGGACTTCTTCATTTACAGCCAGACATTTCAGCTGCTCCTAAATGAACAGAGTACAGAACCAAAACTACTGTGTGAGAGAGAGCTAAGAAGCAGTGAGTGGTAGCTTTTATATGTTACCTCAAACTTCCTTCAGTCTTAGAAAGGCACCTAAAAGGAAGCAGTGATGACATGCCAGTGTATTTCAGTCATGGGTTGGATGATTGAGTCAGTGTGATGTACTGGTCAGAGGAGAGGTCCCCAACATTGTTGCCCTTGGCGCCATGATGCCTGTCAACAGCTTTCCTGGTGCCTAGGTAAAGGTAGGTAAAGGTTTCCCTTGCTCGAAAGCCAGTCGAATCCGACTCTAGGTGCTCATCTCCATTTCCAAGCTGAAGAGCCAGTGCTGTCCGAAGACATTTCCGTGGTCATGTGGCCGGCATGACTAAGCGCCAAGGCGCACGGAACGCTGTTACCTTCCCACCGAAGTGGTACCTATTTATCTACTTGCAATTTCTTGCTTTTGAACTGCTAGGTTGGCAGGAGCTGGAACTAGAGACGGAAGCTCACTCCGTCATACAACACTCGGGTCTCGAACTGCTGAACAACCGACCTTCCACAACCTGCAGTTCAGCGTCTTAACCACTTGAGTCTACCAAGTGTTTTTAGAAAGTGAGTGGGGCCAGGTGGTGCTATTGGCCACTGGAGATTTGATTGGCTGTGCAGATTTCTTAAAATGTTGCATTGGCAGAAGCTAGGGATGCCAGCCTCCAGGTGGGACCTGGGGTTCCCCTGCTATTATAAGCTCATCTCCAGTTCCACGTCCATCTACCAAGATCACCCATGAGGAACTCCTGGAGATTTGGAGATGGAGCCTGGGGAGGACAGGGACTTCAGTGGGGTACTATGCCAAAGAGCCCATGCTCCAAAGCATCCATTTTCTCCAGAGGAACTGATCTCTGTAGTTAGAAGAGGAGCAATAATTTTGGGGGATCCCCAGCTCCCACCTGGAGGCTGGCATCCCTAGTCTCCCAGGAGAAAATGGCTGTTTTGGAGGA